ACACCCACTTTTTACAATAATTTCTTCAAAAAAAAGTGGTGGGCCAACGGAAATATGTAAGGTTCTTCTTATAAAAGTTACAGCAGTATAGTTCAGTTCTTCTGTTTCTACTTGATATTCTTGCGCAGAGACCCAACAGTAATATTGCTTCCAAAATATCTTTTTTGTTTGGATATCGAAGGTATAGAGAGTCTATTTCTTTTCTTCTTGCTATTCCCAAAAACTTCTCTGATTTAGATACTAAATGTACAAAGGAGTTTATCCTGATAATATGAAAAGAGGCTTGATCTCTGTGCAAACCATCCACAATATCCATGTCTTGATGTATCATATTTAAGAACTTCATTGACAATAGTTCGTAGAAGAGAAGCTTGACCCAAGATACCAGACCCACTTTTTGTTATATATCTGCTTTTCGGTGGTTTATATATATAAGCTTCATTAACAGCAAGTATGTAAGTATATAGCAGGAGTATTATAGTATCCATTTTGTTACTTTTCTATAATTTTTACTGTAGTTTAATTTTTTGTTGTTAACCAAGAGATCATCAGAAAGAGTTGAATGATGATGCAATATATAATAGCAAATATTATATTTAATAAATTCTAATTATTAAGAGCAGTATCATTTATCATCTAATTATTTTTTATCAGAGGCTTCCCCCTCTTAATATAAAAAAAAATCAGGTTCTTATATATAATTTTAACTTTTTTTATTTCCCTCTTCCCTAAAAAATCACCTGATTTTTGTCACATCTTTAATAGTTTGAAATACTTGGTACAAATAACCTTACTCAAATATAGATATAGAAGATAATTATAAAATAAAAATATTTTATAAAATTTAAAGTTAAATATTAATCATATTGTTATTATACTAAGATAACCATAATCTGATTTTGCAATCCATAAATCAGTAGTCAAATGAACAGCAGCACAATTTTTTAAAAATAAACAAAGCTATTTCTTGTTTCACAAAAATAAATCATAAATTAAGACTTTTATTGTTTTGTTATATAAAATTCTATAATCAGGCTTACAAGTAAGAAGGAGTATATAGAAAAATATATTTTGTAGAATATATAATGGCTAAACAAATTTTATAATAATAGAAACAAATATTTGTATAATAAGTTTTTGCTATTTTAGTAGATATGAAGATATAACTTTTGAAAAATTAGTTGTTTTGACTTGATTATATCAAGGCTATAAAATATGAATTAATAAATTTTTAATATAATTGTAATATAGTAAAATTTTATTAGTATGTTTTATATTTTATTAGTTAAATATTATTAGCATATTTTAAATTTTTATTAGTTGATTTTTATTAGTTGAAATTTTATTGATTATATTTATTATATATTTTTTTTAAATTTTATTATATAATTTATATTATTATTATATATTTTATATATTTATTAGTTTAGTTATATAGTTTACAACATATTTTATTTATTTTAGTCATTCAAATAATAGTTTTATTAGAATAGTTTTTACAAAATTCTATTTAAAGCAATAGTTATTTAGATATTTAAATTTTTAGTTTGTTTAACATAAACAAAATCTGAACCAAGATATACAAGTACAAATTGTACTTCAGGACAGTAGAGTTGGGGACACAGAAAAATTTTTGGATATACCCCATAGGCATGCCTCTGGTTTTTTTGATTTAGAGACATACCCTATAAGCATACCCAAAATTTTTTATATAACAACTTTTTATATATATAAATTTTTTGAAAAAGGGTATGCCTAGAAGCAGTATTGTCATTTGAACAACTCAGACAGCACTTAGACAGAGTTTGTTAGAGTTTGACACTAAATAACTTTGAATAATATATTGTAACCCACCTTTAATTATTAATTAAAATTGTTCAGAATTATTTTTTGCAAATATGTATGTATTTTTAAAGTAAATTTATAAGTCTAATAAAAAGTTGAACAGACTACTAGATGCTTCAAAAAGCTCAGATATCAAAAATGTACAATACTGCCTAGAAGCATGCTCAGAAAGCATATTTGAAAGACATGCCTCATACTTTATACCCCAACACTACAAGACAGCTCAGAATGATATAATAATAACATAAAAGATAAATAAAGCCAAACAAACTCAATTTGACAAAAGTGCTTTTACTATATTAAAAGATGCTCATGCTATAGTAAAAGGTGTCTATACTATAGTAAAAGATATCTATACTATAAGAAAAGGTACCTATTCCTTAGTAAAAAGTATCTAATCTATTATTTCAATTATTTTTAAGTACTTATCTACTATCTAGAAGTGCTTATTTAATATTAGAAAGTGCTCTTCCTATAGAAGAAAACACTCTTCCATTAATAAAAGTACCTTTTCTTAATAAATTATTATATTTCTATAGTAATTTAATATTCTGAAAAAAGATATTTAAAGCCTTTTATTTTTTCTAAAACACAGAGACAATTGGTCCATATATTTTGGTCATTATAACCTTATATTTTTGATATACTGCTTATAATTTTTGTCTTGAGTCTTGAGTTATTCTTACCGTATAAATATGGAATAACGCCCATCTGCGCGTTAATTAATTGACCTGCGCGTTATTTCGAGCACGCCCATGTGCGATATTTCGAAATAAGGGATGATTTTCAAATTAAACATATGTTATTATATAAATGATAATTTCTTATTTATGACAAGATTTAAAAGTGCTCCGAAACTTGGTTTAGTACTGAATAAACCTACATCTTAACCTGAAGAACAACTTTTATTAAAACCCAAAAGTAGGTTTAATTAATACTAAACCTAGTTCCGGAACATTTTTTGTTTTTTATTTTTTACATAAAGAATAAGAGGAATGCACGTTAATTTGAGACGCCCATGGGCGCTAATTCGGGACTACATATATTATTTTTGAAAGACTCGATTTTCAAAATAACGCCCACGGGCGTTATTCCACGTTTATATGGTATTTTCTTTTTTATATAGTGATATAATTTCTTTTTGTTTTTCTGTTATAATTGTAATATTTTTCTTGAATTTATTATATTTTTCTTGAGTTATATTATTGTTTTATCTGTATTATTCTTTTAAGCATTCTTTAATAAAATTCTGTTTTTAGTATAAAATCTGTTGGTTATAACCTTTCTTTATTGAAATTATATTGGCAATAAATCGACAATATTTTGTTTTATTTAAGTTATTTTCTGTCATAAAATTATAAAAACATATTTCTTAACTACTCAAATACTTAGTTAAGTAGTGTGACTTATTAACCAAGAGTCTAACAACATTATATTACAATAATACTTAAAAACTTTATAAAAAAGATTTGTTTAGTTATTGTAGGTATTGTTCAAAAAATAGTTGGAATGGAGTCAATTTTCTAAATACTAATATGATATTGTACAATTTTTATACTGTGATATAAAAAAGTAATTTTTGAATTAACAATATTAGATATAAACATTGTATAAAATTAGTACAGTATATAGTATATTTAGAAAATCAACTTTATTTTGATTATTTTTTTAAACAAAAACAGAACTTTAGAAATTTTTAGAATATTGCTAACAAAACTAATAAAATTTTTTATAAAGAAGTATTCAAATTTATATAATTTATATAGGAAAATTATAGATAGTAATTTATTACTATGGTAACCTCTATATAATTAACTAATTATTTTTTAGATTAGTGATCATATAAGTAAATTATAGATAATATTTTTTGTGTTTTACTTTTTGTTTTGTTTTTGTTTTGCTATTTGTTTTGCTTTTTGCTTTGCTTTTGCTTTGTTTTTTGCTTTACTTTTCGCTTTGTTTTTTGCTTTGTTTTTTTTTTTTATATTAAAATGGACATGTTCTGCTTACTGTAAATTCTCAAAATAATGGGCATAAGCGTTAATTCAAAAATCATACCCCCTAAAAATAGCATAGATGGTTTCAAAATAACACACATGCATGTCCCAGAATAATGCATACTCTACATTATATCACGTTACATGTATAGTTTATATATTAAATTGAACTTATACTAGCAATAAGCAAAATGATCATTAGTTTTATTTCCCTTCTCCAAGAAAGATCAATGCTTAACAATGCAGTATTTTTAAGAATTTATAGTTTTACTTTCTATAGTCAAGCTTAAATCACTATAAGTTTAGATTCCTGTCTAGAAAATGCAATGCTTTCTTTTACTTTTCTCGATCTAGAAAATGCAATGCTTCTTTTGCATAATTATACTTTCTTCAATCTAATTCAATATTAATTTAAAAATCCAGGTGTCTCAAAATGATTTATAGTAAGCCACCTGATACAAAAGTATTGAATATACATAGTAGGTAAGATTTAGAGAGAAGAGGGCAAAAGCACGACTTTATTTATTTTAGAAGAAATTATACCTGTAAGCATTTTTTTTTTTATTATTTTATTTATAGTTAGATTTGAAAACCTATTTAATGCTTTTTTTTATCACTTCAGTATCTATACTATCTTGATAGCAAGATCCAAGATAATAATCTTGGATAAAAGGCAAACAATTTTGTAAAAATTTATAATAGGTTCTATTTATGAAATTACTTCTTTTATTTACAAATTACTACAACCTTATTTTTTTATATATTTCATATTTCACTAACAAATTTGTTTAATTTCAGAAACTATTATCAGTCTAATGAAAAGAGATGTAATATCAATTGATAAATATTTAATAAATGGGTTTTACACTTACTATTACTGGTAATATCAACGAATAACTTTATTGATAATAAGTATATAGACCATTTTATGAACGAGCCCATCCTGATAGTTTGATGTATATGAGATGAATAGAGAAGTAATATTAATCAAAGATAGAACAATAAACCTTTTCAACAAGTATTCTTTTAAAAATCTTCAGTACGATATGCAACTTTTTTAAAAAAAATGTAAAAAAAATTTCAATAATAAAAAAATTAAAAAAGCTGCATATCATACTAAATATTTTTGAATAAATGCTTGTAAAAAAGGTTTATTTTCTACTTGTGAATGAATTCTATTAATGTTAAAATGTGTTGATATTTATTATCCCACTTTTTATCTATTAAGTACTCATCTATTGAATTTTCATCATACACCATATTATCATCCATATCATCGTCTGTATCATCGTTCATACCCATATCTGTATCACTCTTCATTATATTTTCATCTTCTTTATCTTCTGAACGTATACTTTCTTTATCATCATCAATATCACTCATTCGGTTTTCAATAATCGCTTAGAGATGGTGGGACATCTTGTAATCTTCGCTACTATCGAGGTTCAAAACAAGACCAGCTAACTCAAAAGACTTGGCTAAGATACTTGAGCTGATTTTCTTTCATGTTTAAGATACCCATTCACAAACGAGCTTATACAGAGCTTTTTTGTAGTTTCTTTTAGCAGTAAATTCCTTTTTTCCTTTTTTAATCTATTCCTCCCACCTAATATTACAAATTGGCAAAATTTTTTTAATTGATTAGTGGTTAATTATTTTTTAGTTGGTTGCAACTAATCGATTAGTTGCAACTAATTCATTAAGTAAATAAATCGATTCTTTGCAACTAATTAATTAATTTTTTAGTCAATTAGTTGCAACTAATCAATTAGTCGATTAATCAATTAATTGATTAGTTGGTATTCAAAAAGTTCAATTGATTAGTTGTCAACTAACCAACTAATCGATTTTTTTAACTTTTGATTTGTATTATTACTCTTACCTTTTTCTCATTTTACTTTTGAAGAGTTTGTTTATTGAAACGTCAGGTGGCTACAAAATACTAGTCATTTTACCAGATATTTCCAAAACATCCAAATCTTTTGTATTTAGCATTTTAACCACATCATCACAGACGTGACTACTATGATGATTAACAAAAACTATATCCTTGTTTTTAATGAATCTATTAGGTCTCACTCAAATAACTCATAGAATGTATATGGAAATCATTAAATCCCCTATCATATTGGTATGAGGTGCTGTTGTTACTACAATATCTTGGAGAAACTTGCATTTGGAGATTTTTTTTAATTTAAAAATTATTGCAGGAGAGAGTTTGTCTCCGGAAGCTGTATAACCTAAAACTACAGTAAATCTTAGCTTATCACTTCCTGTAGTTTTAATTAGAACTTCGCAAGTATCTTGAAACTCAAGTGTCGAACTCTGGAGTATATCGAACTATATTGGAGTTTCATCAAAAGAAATAATATATTTTTTTCTATATTTACAGTTTTTTTACACACCTTTTTAAGGAAGTCTCTAATGACTAAGGGTATATCTTCAGGAAACTTCTGCATGATTTGTGTGCGAGCACATTCTACCAGATTGTACCGGTTCTTAAAATGTTCAACCTACCCATGTGAAAACTAGACATTTTTAATACTAAGAGCTTTTTCTAACTCTTTAGCTTTTCTCCTAATCATAAACATTGTGACTGCAATCTTTTTCTCACATTTTTTTGATATAATCTAATAGCTCTTCTTCTAATGCAGGGTACATAGCTTTTCAGCCACTACCTTTAAGAACTCGTGCTTGATCTTTGCC